GCTGAGAGCCTGGGGCATGGCTGGCTGGGGGCAGACCAGGCATCAACAGCTGACCCCCTGTCCCAAAACTGGGAGAAGTGGGAGTCCAGTGTCACCCTGCTCTGCGCAGWGCAGCAGTCAGCCCTTAGGGTGTGGGATCTCCATGTCTGGGGAGACTCTCAGAACACCTCAGATCATTCTAGCCCAGGAGAAGCTGAGCCATGGTCAAGCCAAACCCTACAGTACCATTCTGGGGGAGCTCACCTCAGGRACTGGTTCAGGTGGGATGCCCTGACCCATCTACCCTTTCCTTGAGAGCAYAGGGGTGTTAGGAGGGCAAGGGGTCCCTGTCCCCATGGGTGGCAGTCTGGAGGTACCACTGTGCCCTTTGAGTGAAGCAGGAGCACAGACACAATGGCTAAGGCTGGAGAGGACATGAGATTATGTTTCTAGTGGACAAAAAGACAGGGGTCCTTCTGCAGCCCACACCTTGCAGTGCTTGGACTGTGTTCCTGCTGCCATGGAAACTGCTATGGAGCATCATTTTGTTGCACTGGCCAGGGTGACCAGGCCACAGTGGTCCCCAGCCTTGTTCGGGCTCTGTCCATGCACACCTGGACTGACAGAGTGGGAGAGGCTGGATGCTGCCTGCCAGTCACCATCCKTGGGTCACCTTGGGGCTGTGATAGGATGGGGGCATCCCTGGGTGGGGCACCAAGGGAACAGAAAGGATAGAGAAACTGGGGAAGTGCTGGCAGGAGGTGTCTGGTGCCATTCCCAGACAAACCCAGCTCCCACGCGGCCAGGGGCTCCACGCTGCTTGGCCTCCCACAAACATAAATCATTTTCTAATTTATAACATGAATAATTGATTTTGCCTCCATAGCTAGCGATAAATCTCCTGTGCGCACATGCATAAGAAAATAATAATAATGAAAGCGATCAGGATCTGCTGCCATCGATTACCTGTGAGAGGGAACATGGTCCCCTGTGTGCCACATGAGGCTGGGATAGGGGCTGCTCCCCAGGGGATGCCGGGCAGCCCTGCCTGGTGTGCTTTCCTTGTCCTGCACAGGGGCACCTGTCTGAGATGGTATGACCGTACMTATCCTTGTCTGAGCCCCTGGGGCTGTACTGGGACCCACACTGGGCAGAACTGGGCAGTCAGGAAGGTCCGAGTACTTCAGGATATCCCAGACCCCAGGCATCAGCGGTCCCAGCCTTGTAACTGCAGCTAGGGAGGGATAAGATGCTTGGCACAGCCCGATTCACGGATGCAGATGCCTCAGTGGCACCTTGCCAGGGTGGCCCGTGACCTGTCCCTGTGCCTCGGCAGCTCCGCAGTCTCGGGAGAGCAGCAGAAGCCGCTCTGGCTGCCGGTGCCCCGGTCCCTGCACGGAGAGGCAGCGTGCACCCCACGGGACATTCCTGCTCCCTGGGTGCACCCCACGGGACATTCCTGCTCCCTGGGTCGCCTCTTCTCTGGGATCCACATCATGAGACCGACTGGGACACAGCTCGTTGGAAACGGCATCGGAGAGCTTCGGCTCACAGGGCAGCACAGACCCCCTGCCCATCAGCCAAACTAACCAGGGCGGCCGCGCCAGCTTGCCCGAAGCCTTCAGGTGGTCACAGGGAACCCCACCGCTCCCGCCCGGCGTGTGACATTGAACGGAAACGGGAGACCCACGGCAGCCTCGGACGGGGCCACCCGTGGGACGGAGCGGGGRTCGCTCCCCCTCTGCCCACCGCCGTCCCAGCCACGGAGCGCCCKTGCTGCGGCTGCCGGGCGGTGTGGGAGAAGGACGGGTCACCGTGGCACC